GGAAAAGCTAGGAATGTGGATTGTCTGAAGAAAGCTGCAAGGAAGGAGCAAAGCTGGCCCCAGAGAGAAGCCATGGGAGCTACCACCAAAAGTGCCGTAGAAGTGGAGCCACATGGAGCTCACAGTTTACCACAGAATTGCTTTGGATTTCATATGGAAGTACAGGACTTAGTGTTTACCCTTCTGGATTTTGGATTTGGTTTGGTCCCAATGCTTGGTATCCTGATGTTTATAACTTTTGGAATAGTAATTTTATCTTTTGCCATTGAATGTTGGAAGTGTTTCCCTTTTCATTTGTGCAGGGGTTCACAGCTAAGAGTTTGCCTTAGATCTTGAAAGAGACTTGGGATTTGGACTTTTCAGCAATTCTAAAACTGTTAGGACTTCGGCAATTCTTAGAGATGGACTAAAATGGCTTTTACATAAAGGGATGTACATGAGTCTTTAGGTCACCAGGGGCAGGATGCTAGGGTTTGTGTCTAGTTGACCCCCCAAAGCCTCATGCAGTCTTTGGGGTGGCTTCTAGATTTTGTAATTAATTCATGATGCAGTGCAGGGATTATGGGTGTGAGTGCTACCCTGCCCTGGGTGGTAATCTGCATACAATATGAGGGAGGGAGCAAGGCTTCCTGGCTGCTGCAGCTGCTGTTCCTCCCTTCGTTCTTTTCTGTCATCATGAACCACTGCCCTCTGCCATGTGTCACTCAGCCTTGGAGCCAGCTGAGTGTCAACTGAAACCTCCGCTAACTGAGCTAAACAAACCTTTCCGGGGCTGGTGAGATGGCTCAGTGGTCTAAGGCACCTACTTAGAACAAGTTTAGCAAAGCACATGGACTGCGGTTCAATCCCCCAGCACCACATGCTAGCCAGTCCCGCCCCCTGGTGGGCTGAGCTGGCCACACACACACACAAATAAAAAAATAAATAAATTTTAAAAACCAAACCAAAACAAATAAACCTTTGCTTCCTTAATTCTGGGTGTCAGGTATTTTGTCCCAGCAACAAGTAAAAAGTAACTGAGACACCCCTGTAGGTCAGTAGATTGCACAATAAATTGTATAGTGACGTTTGGCAAGTGTAGTGATGTGAATAGAGGATGATGAGTATCAGCTGTGGGGAAGTCAGATAAGGGCAAAGGTGGAGGCCCATTTTTTTACTAGTTAATATATCAGTGAGCACTACATACAGTTGCGATGGAGTAATAGAAGAGGCTGTGATTCTCTTGGGGGAAGGCCTTAATTAGTGTGAACACTGCCTGTGTGGAAGATGTGAGACTTTAGTGGTGAGACCACCCAGGAAGTTTTTTTTTGTTTTGTTTTGGTTTTTTTTTTGGTACTGGGGATTGAACTCAGGACCCTGCATTTGCCAGGCAAGTGCTTATTGTACTGAGCTATCGTCCCAGCCCCCAGGAAGGTATTGAAGAGGCAATTTGTTACACTTTTTTTTTTCTTTTTTTTTGCATCTCTGGTTTCCTGGGAGAGACTGGGTTTGAACCAGAGCATCTTGAGCCTGACTGCTTTGTTAAAGCAGGCACTGAACCAACTGCGCTAATGGGCAGGCCCCCAAATAATTTTTTTTTCTTTTGCGGAACCAGCGATTGAACTCAGGCCCTTGTGCTTGCCAGGGAAATGCTTATTCCACTGAGCCATCTCCCTGGCCCCTATACTTTTTTTCTTTCTTTCTTTTTTTTCAGAACCAGCAATTGAATTCAGGCCCTTGTGCTTGCTAGGAAAATGCTTATTCTACTGAGCCAGCTCCCTGGCCCCTACCTATACTTTCTTTCTTTCTTTTTTTTTTTTTTTCAGAACCGGGGATTGAACTCAGGCGCTTGCTCTTGCCAGGGAAGCACTTATTCCACTGAGCCATCTCCCCGGCCCCTTTTTTTCTTGATGTATAGATTTTCCCATTTCAAGTTAGTACCTTAAGTAATTTAGCATCTGGATTGATACATCAATAAATGATGATCAAAAATAAAAAAATAAATAAATGATGATCAAATACTGTGGGATACAATTAGAACAGATAAGCAGCATCATAAAATAGTTTTTAATATTACTTAATTAGGTCTTCAGAAAAAGATTTCTTGCTGAAAAATACTGCTTTGCTCTGAAGACTAAAGTTGAATCTTTATCTGCCTTTTTTTTTTTCCTTAAATGTATCTGGTTGTTACGGGGTCTCACTGTGTAGCTTGGATTCATAGTGATCCTGTTTTCAGCTTTCCCAGAGCTGGGATTACAGGCATGCGCCACTATGCCTGGACTCTGGCCACTCAGCCTGCTCTGGGGCCAGGGCTGGCACAGCCTGTGGTGCCAGGGATCAAACCAAGGTCCCTGTACATGCCTAAGCAGGCACTTAGTCCACTGAGCTGTCTCACCGGCCCCATATGCCTTTTTTTTTTTTTTTTTTTCCCCATTTGCTTTTATTGATAGAAATTATTTCCTTCAAGAAATAGCAGTGCTGGGCATGGTGGTGGGCACCTGTGGTAGTCTTAGTTACATGAGAGATCAGGCAGGTACATCCCTTGTGCTCTGAAGGGGCCAGCCTGGTCAGTGTAGTGAGAGGACCTTTTTAATTAAAAAGGAAAGTTGTATGTACCAGTTCACCAAGGTGAATGTAATCATTGTGTGTCACAAATATATACTCATAAAAAAAGAAACAGTTGATTAATGCATGTATTGTGAGGGAAAGCTAATAGAAAAACAAAAGAAAAAGAAGCAAATGAAAGGTAGGTTTGACTAAGTTAACTTCTTAAGGGAAGTTCAATTTTTTTTTTTATTGTTGTTATTTTTTGTTTGTCTTTTTGAGACAGGGTCTCACTGTGCAGCTTAGCTGGCCTTGAGCTCACTTTGTAGCCCAGGCTCATCTTGAACTTGCAAGGTCTTCCTGCCTCAGTCTCCCAAGTGCTGGGATTACAGGTGTGCTTCCCCCACGCCTGGCTCAAAATGTGTTTTATCATGCTGGGTGTGGTGGTGCGCATCCTGTAATCCCAGCACTGGGAGTCTGAGGCAGAAGGATTACTGCAAATTCAGGGCCAGGCTGGGCTACCTAGTGAGTGCAGAGGCAGCCTACACTACACAGTGAGACCCTGTCTCACAGAACTGAGAAATCTAGTGTGTTTTATCTAAATGAGCAGGATACTGGGCAAATTGGTTAATTGTATTTAAATTGGTTGTGCCAGTTTTTAGAGCACCTATTCACAAATTACAAATTAAATTCACTTTATTTTAGGATTTCTGATTAATGTGTTAAAACCTTTCATGAAAGAAAAACTGACATAGTATAAAGCAGACCTTTCTAAGCTGAGCTTCTTGTGTAGGTTCGTTAAACAATTGGTGTATGCGTACATTTTTCCAAGGAGTGGATCTATGACCTGAAAAGATTAAGAAGAACCTCTGTGCTAGAGATAAAAAAAGATTCAAGAGTGAAACTTTTTTTGTGTGTGTGGAACCAGGGATTGAACTCAGGCCCTTGCGCTTGCCAGGCCAAGTGCCTATACTACTCAGCTATCTCCCCAGGCTGTAGTATTTTGTTTTTCTTTGCTAAAACTCTATAGTACTAAGAATTGAGAGTGTGAAATAAAATTGCTATACTTTGCTTTTTGGTTTTGTTCTGCTGAAATTTTTCTTTTAGTTAACTATAAAGGACTTAGTCTAGATGATGGAGCTTTTAGAGCTTTCAGTTGTAATGGACAACCTGCTGTGGCGCGCAAGCCATAGGTGCACCAGTTGACTGAAGGCAATCGCCAAATCAATTGGCCATGTTTAATGTACCTAAAATCTAACAGAATGGATGGTAAATGTTGTGACAGCCCCACGTGGTCTTGCCTTAGGTGCCTTTCTCATCATTGGTTATAGCTCTGTGTCAAGTTATGTGCTGTGATTTATACTGGATTCTTAAGATCTCTCTTACTGTGCACAAATGTGTTTATTCTATGTTTTAAGGTTTTTTGGTTTCTGTTTTCATGCTCAGTAACAAAGTACAGATAATTAAAGAGATGTTGAGTCTTAAAAATATTAAATGTAGTGTTTTAAACTGTTGCCTCAGTTAACTAAGAGCAAGTAATAATAGCTGCAGGAGTGTGATGTTAAAGAAAAATGATCTATTTTTCAAAGATTTCTGTTGTTCCAACATACCCATTGCCTTAGTCTAAATAAGTTTTTCACAGTCATTGGGGACTAACCCTCAGTGTAACTTTCCCATAGAGTACATGTGAATTTTTTAAGGCTTTGCTTGCAAATAAATGTATTCTTTATTTAATCACTTGGGTGAAAGAAATTATTATGTGCAGTTGGCAGAGGGCTAAGTATGAAATCCATTCTAGTGTGGCCAACTTGATGACTACAGTTGAAAATCTGTTTCGTTGCTTTTTTTTTTTTTTTTTTTTCTAGAAGACGGCATACGAGATGTTGCGGCGTGACTGGAGTTCAGACGTGTGCTCTTCCGATCGTTGCTTTTTTTTTTTTTTTTTTTTTCTTATAACATTGTTTCTTGCTGTTGAAACTAAGCTGTCCTCCCTGCAGATTGACTTTATTTTTCATCTGACATCATAGGCTGATCAAGCCAGTGTTTTCTAAACACACAGCACACACAGCTCGATGCCCTATTTCTGTTCATCCCCAGTAGATGCTCTGTTCTACTCAGTTCAATTAGAGCTGTGGTTTTTGTCAAGATTATTATTTTATGATTGTATGAAATGGAAGATACTTTGATTAAAAATATTGAGCCAGCAGTAGAACTGGTTGATCTATGCGTGTATGATTTAGTTTGCTTCCTACTTTGCAGTACCAGGGAAGAACTTAATTCTTCCTGTTTCCTGAAAGTGGAAGGAGGGAGTGGAGGAGACTGAAGGGAAAGAAACCACAATCTCACCCCAAAAGTAGCTTAATAATGTCAGGAAGGGCTTTGATGAAACCACTGGCCCTGCTTATAGATCTTATTTTCCAAACCTTTCATTATTTTATTTGCCCTTTTCTGAACTCTACAATTTCCCTCTCTTGTAGCTGGTTCGATGCCCAGAACTGAATGCTGTGCTCCAGCTGTGGCCTCACCGGTGCTGACTAGAGAGGAAGAGCCACCTGCATAGCTTACATGTGATTCCTCTGCTTACACAACCCAATACTGGATTTGCTTACTTTGGCAAGATAGCTGCATTGTGCACTGTATTTAATGTTACGTGTACTGTAACCCTGGGTCTTTCTCTGCATTGCTGCCGTTAAATCCCCAATCCTGCCACTCTAGAACTCCTGCCTTTGTTTACCTGTCCACCTCCCCAGGCTGCCCGTATATTCATCCACAATGAATGCCATCTTTTTATTCTCTCATTTTCTTTACTCTTAAACTTCAACAAAACTTTCATTCTGTCCTATAAATTGTCATTTGTCAGCCATCTTATTTTTCTCCCTGCTTTGGTAATGGGGGCATTTGCAAATCTTTCTACTGGTTCTCTTCCTTTTGTAGTTGTTAAAAACACTTAGAATGGTTGAATTTTTAGTGAACAATATCCTGGCACTTCTTCCAAGTCAGATATCGATGAACTTCTCATGTTCACCCATCGATGAACTTCCCTTTACTTTAGCTGTGTCCTCCTTGCCGCACATCTTTTCCTCCAGGGAGGAGACACAAACAATATCACCTTACCCCCAAAATTTCTGATAACAGATGTTACAACTTTTAATTGTGCACAGTATGGTCTTTAATAATTTTAAGCATGGTTTCCACTTTCCCCAAGACCTACATGAAAGCGATCAGAGCTTAAGTTACTATGAAATTCTAAGATGAGTAAGGTAAAGGAAGGTTTTGTTGAGTAGGATGTGGCTGTCCAAGAAAGCCAAATTGAGGTTGTATTGGAATTTATAGCTGTCTGGGACAGAAGATGACTCTTTTTTCCTTGAATCTGGAACATTATAATCTCAGCTTAGAGTAGGTTTTTAAGTTGGCTTATTTAAGACTGCAGATACAGATAACCATTCTTTTAGTTACATGCATTGGTTAATGAGTGTAGAATGTGTTGTCTTCTGATTTACTGTGGGTGATAAGAATTAAATGCTCTCTATACATCCTTTTTTATCCATTTCTGAGCTCTCAAGTTTAAATCCTGTTTTCTTTACAGTAGTAGTGATGTTTAAATTCTTTTTCAGGTTGATGTGATATATTTAACAGACTTAGGTTGGTGGTCTTTATTGAAACCAGAAGTTACTGCTTATATGTATTTATATCTTGAGAGAGTTAAAATCAATTTGAAAATCTTTTAAACATTATTGCAACACATCAGATTACTATAGTATGGATTTAGGAGTTACCTTTTCAGGCACCACTTAAGATATTTTACATATCAGTATACTGCACTGTAAAAATGTTTTACAAAACTATACTTATAAGAGGTGCCAGGATCCATTAGCTTTTTATGGTGAAACATAAAATGTATCACCTGACTCTTCTATATAGCCACTAAATATTGCTAGTTTCAGTATTTACAATTATATAAACCAAATGAAACTTTTAACTTTTTGATGGTTTCCCAGAGATAGAGTCTTGTTTCCCTCCACATACATTATCAAAAATTTTTGGCTTAGTTTAAAAAATTGGTGCTTGTTTCATTTATTCGCAAGTGTGACACCTTTCCTTGAAAGAATATCGGTTTTATTTCTTGATTTGTGAATTTAACTCTCAGTGGCAGAGCTCAGTGGACTTAGTTAGGCTTTTGTGTGCTAAGTGCTTTTCTTTAGGCTGCCTAATGAACTGAACAGTGGCACAGTTTCCATCTCCATTTATGGCCTTGGAAGGGTGAAAGGGACAGGGTCGGGACTCTCCATTTATGGACCTTGATGGAGTTGAAACGCGTGGTTGGGGTGTTCTTGGAGTCAGAAGCTAGACATAATGAGATAAAAATAAATTGGCAGGCGATGTTTGTAATTCAGATTCCAGTCCCTGCAAGGAGGGCAGAGGGTGCTGGGAAAGGGGAGTACGTAGACAGATGAGATTGCTACGGCATCTGTCTCCTTCCATCATGAGACACACATTTCCCAAGTTCATGTGTCTGGATTCTAAAAAATTAATGTTTAATGTGGTTATGGCTGTCCTTTATGAAAAGAAAGAAGAAACACTTTTAAAATATATTATCGGACATCTCAGTTCTGAACATCATTTGGGGTACCAAGAGAAGTCTCCAGAAAGGGAGGCTAGGTCAGGTACTTGTGCTAGAGGCAGCCCGGTTGGTTTTAAGGCAGGTGACTAATTCTTGCTCTGTTTATGTCTGAGGAAGATCGTATGTGTCATGTTCTTGTTACATTGCCTATCATCATTCCTGGTCCCCAGGAATAAGTCTGAAAAATATTTGACAGAGTATCTTGTAGGTTGTCGTCTGTGATTTAAAGGTAATGAACTTTCACAGAAGATCTGTGAAGTGTTGAGAGTTTTTTTAGTGGGTAATATATTGACTTATGGAAAGTAATCTCAGTTTTTGGAAAACTTTATAGTCATACTAGTGCCTATAAATTAAGTCAGAGGTAAACTTCGTTTATATAGTTGAGTTAGGTAATATTTGGAACTTACTAGGGAAAAGGATCTCAAGAAAATTCTGAGTGAAACCCAAGAACTGATGGGAGATTAGAAGGAACAAAAGGAAGCAGAGGTGGAGTAAAACCTTAATGTGACTAAATTTAGAAGCTGGGACTAATTTTTTAGCTTCAATGATACCACATAAGATACCTTAAGATGGAAATTTACTCAGGAAACTGGGCTAGTAACCAGAAGCATGCATTAGAAATAAAGATCATGGGAAAATTGAAGGATTGTACAATATAATAAAATTTAGGTTTATTTATGGACTTATTTGATAATTTGTTGTATGTATGTGGCAGAAAAGGAAGTAATACACTTTTCTTACCTCATCTTCCCTTTAGAAAAAGGGAAGATTGGTCTTGTTTGGTTGTTTGTTTAGTTTGAATTGGTTGACTAGTAAACTGTATGTAGGTATTATTTTTATATTTGCTGGTATTAATTAGTGTACTGCCTCTTGATCATTGACATGTGAGACTGGGAATTTGTGTTGTTGACTTGACTTCTGTATTAAATTTAGCAGCTTCCACAAAGACAGTGAATTAGTAAAGAATAGACTATGTAAATAAATACTAAGCTTTATGAAGTAGTTTGTTTAGGCAGTTTTTTTTTTTTTTTTTTTTAAACTCTGCATTTCTTTCTTAACAATAAGGAAACTATTCTTTGCTTTGGGAAATCCTTCTCTCTGTCCTCCTCCTTCCTTCACTTTTTCCAAATTCTGGGAACCATAGCAGATCTCCCTCTTCTGTGGCAGGTGTGCATCCTATTGGCTGGCTGGTATTTCTTGGTTTTTTTTCCCCCCCTTAGTCTTTTTTAAATGGGGGAGGGGGTATAAAATGTATATGGGGTACATGCAATAATGTTGTAATGTTTCTTGTTGTTTAATGGATAATTAATTGCAAAAGTAATTGTTTGAATTATAACATGTTTGAGTAAATGCTAAATTAGTATTTTTCTAATATAATGAATTTGAAATCTAGTAATCCTGTAACAATGTGTTTGTGTTTGTCTGTCTGTGTCTGTCTAATAGTAATTAATATCTGTGGTCCGTATCTGGAAGAGGAAGTACAGCTTTAAAGAATAACAAAAGACTTTGTGTCTTAGACCCTTCGCAGGTGTTACAGTCGGGTGAAAGAACATGGTGTTGGGAAAAGAAAGAGCAGTTACACATTTGAACAGTTGGAACAGGTGTTTGGTCAGGGAGGATGGGATGCTCAGCCCTGCCAGCCTGTACTTATTAACAGTAGTGGCTTGTACCAGGAGCTGGAGTCAGATGGCAGCACTATGGAGGACTATTCACAGGAGGACTGGGGAAACCACAGTCAGGATCTCCATGGCTACCCAACAGATCAGGATTTGGGTAAGAAAGCCAATGCATATGAGAACTTGTGTGTGTGTGTGTGTGTGTGCGTGTCTGTCTGTCTGTCTAACTGGTATATGCAACACTTCTTATCTGTGATGTTTTCTGATACCGTTCTCACTGTCATCACAAGGCGTATCACCATCTGTTTGGGGGAATGTGGACCTCCTTGGTTTGTCCTGTTTTATTTTTTATTTTATTTTATTTTTTTAGGGAAGGGTCTACAGAGTGTTCAGGGTCTCACTACTAGATCAGACCTCCCAGGAGCTGGGATTACAGGCGTGCACCACCACACCCAGTCTCAGCTGCACCTCAGTGCGCCCTGGGATCAGGGCCGGCGTGGCAGGCCTGGGGATTGAACCCTTGGCTCCTCCGCCTGCACAGGTGCTTTAATCCACTGAGCTATTTGGCCAGCCCTCTCGGTTTATCCTTAAACAGGCAACTAATGCTTGATGATTTGAATATTATCAAGATTCCTAAGGCTAGAAGAATCCTAGTTCTGAGCTATACAAGGAGGCTCAGTAGCCGGTAGAATCTTAGATGATGCTAAATATCCTGTACCTCCTAATTTTAAGGTTGCTGCCAACGAATACTGACTGTAGGCCCAATGCTGTAAGTGAATCTGTCTTTTCTTTCCCTCAGTCCAAAGTTTTCTTTCTTTGCCTGTCATTTGGGAAAGGTCGTTTCCCCGATTGGAGTCTAAACAAAAAATGACTTACATTGAAAAGAACTGTTGGGCCTGTGAGGTAGCTCAGTGGTCTAAAGCGCCTTCTTAGGCTAGCTTAGGCAAAGCACAGGGATGCGGTTCAATCCCTGGTACCACATACCGTACCAACCCTGCCCCCAGGGTGGGCTGACCCAGCCACCAAAAAAAAAAAAAAAAGAAAGAAAAAAGAAAAGAAAAGAAGTGTTGTCTAGATTGCATTGATGATCATGTTCCTTCGAATTTCTTAAGGGATCCTACCCCAGTAATAGCTAGAACAATTCATATATACAGGAAAGTTATTCCAGTAGAAAGTGAAAGTCCTGGCCATCACATCTAAATTATGAGGGGCTGGGGATTTGGCTCAGTGATAGAATGCTTGCCTAGCAAGCTGGAAGCCCTGGGTTCGGTCCTCTGCACCAAAAAAAAAATAATAATAATAAATAAATTTTGATATTTATAACCTGAAATCACTGATCAGGTTTCTGTTGCATCCATTTTATATTAACAGTAAATTGTCAGCTGGGCATGGTGGTGCATGCCTGTAATCCCAGCACTTGGGAGGCTGAGACAGGAGGATAGTTACAAGTTTTAGAGGTGCCTGGGCTACAAAGTGAGCTCAAGGTCAGCCTGAACTGCATAGTATGTCCAAACGAACCGCAAAGAAACAAATCTCAAATATTGGAAGAGGAAGAGAAGAAAAACGCTATAGAACTATAACACTAATACTGTATAAGAAAGAGACTTAAACATTAGAAAAACGAGTGCACAACGCTACGTGATCATTACCTCGTAATTTCACGGGAGCAGTGAAGGCTAAGTGATTTTGGTATCCCATAACACCATGTTTGCCGTAGTTAAGTCATGAAACCTTAGGGGGAAAAATAACATGCAGAATATGCCAGTCCTGATGTTGAGGGAAAGTTACACTGTAAAACCTACATAGAAAATGTAAACAGAGCAGAATTATTTTCATTCTTGTTCTTTTAAAATCATGTTTGCAATGAAATTAAGCTGAGAGCGTCTAGCTAGAAATCCATTGGTGACCTTGAAAAATTTTATACTTGTAGAGCTGGGTTTTTTTTTTCCCACCCACTCCAAAGCTGGTTTCTGATCTTGCATATAAATGTATGCATATCATTGTATAAAAATTACGTATATAAATCTGGCATTAGACAATACTGGGCACCAGAATAAAAGTCTGGTGTAGGAAAGTATGAAATGAGCAGTAAATATAGCTACTTATCTACATAAATGTATACTACCACTTAGAAAAATATAATGTGTTCCAAAATGTTTGCTTTTCAGATGAAATACCTGTCACAAAGAGAACATTAAAAATTAAACAAGAGTCTTCTGAAGAAGCACAGTAAGTAGCTTCACGTTCCCACAGCGTGTCTACCTACTAGGAGGGTCAGAAAGTAACTAGACAGGCCACAATTGCTAGGACAGTACAGCTGTACCACAAAGAAGCACATGTGTTCATTCTTCCTATTTAGTTACTTCACTTTTTTGAGGCAGGTTCTAGTGTTGTAGTCAGGCTGGCCTTGAGCTCACTTCGTGGCCCAGGGTGGCCCTGCAGCAGTCCTCCTCTCCCAGCCTTCTGAGTACCGCCATCATAAGCATGTACCACTACACCCAACCTGTTTGCATTTTTCCCAGCAGTGACATGAAAATGGTGGAAATTTTATATGCAGTGAGAAATAAATTACTACTTAAAAACAAGCATGTTGATGGGGTTTACTCATGTGTGGATGTGAAAAATACAGATTTTTAAATAAGGTATAAAAATGAGTCACCAGGACTTGAGCTTATTTGGAGCTAGATGAAATGCCCAGAGAGCTGAGGGCACACTTAAATGCCTTATAAACATTACAGTTTGGGAATTAAAAAACAAGCCCTAGGGGCCGGGGAGCTGGCTCAGTGGAATCAGTGCTTCCCTGGCAAGCACAAGGGCCTGAGTTCAATACCCGGTTCCACCAAAAGAAAAAAAAAAAAAGAACAAGCCCTTAAATGATCAATTTATGTCTTCAGAAAAGAAAGTAGTTATTGGAGAAAGGATTTTAAAAGCTCAAGGATAGGGCCCTCCACTGACCCTACATGATATTCTTTTTAAGAGTTCAGGGGCTGGTGAGATAGCTCAGTGGTCTAAAGCACCTTTCTAAGAGTGCAGGGACCACCACATGTTAGCCCTGCTCCCCACCCCCAGGGTGGGCTGGGCTGAGCTGCACACACACACGCGCGCACACACACACACACACACACAGTTGTTACATTTATGTTACCTTTTTTTTTTTTT